CCGCTAGGCCCAGACGTTTGGAGAACAAGGCTCAGGAGGTAGCAGCTGTCCATGTGGCCCTCTGACCAGGCTGACACTCATGGGATAATCAGCTGTACCGAGTGCAGTTTTGATTCTCCTTTGAAACCGCCCCGCACCGTCTGCAGGACCATGTGGACTGCACGCTTCTTTGGCAGAGCCCCCTGGGTGGTACTTCCAAGCTGCGCCAGTGGCGGCAGGAGGCCGGGTTTTAAGAATACGAACCAAGAAAACACGCTCTGTCTGCCTTCCCACTCATGGCTCCAGCCCAGGAGGCCTCGGCGTCGGTGTTTCTCTGTCGCCTTCCAGCTGGAAGCCAAGTGAAGCCCAGGAGCTGGGCCAACACCCACTGTAGGCCCAGGCCTGATCAATAAGTACTTTGCCTCTGGCCGTGGCACCCTCAGCCTTTGCCTCTCTGGGAAGCCTGGGGCCAAAGGAGGGGACGCAGACGTGTCCCCTGTGGTTGGCATCTTCCCGTCCAGATGATCCTTGCTCTCTAGTTAAAGCACACATACTATCATTGTTACTAAAATCCAGCTGATTTTCAGAACTCTAAAGCCATAGCTGCACTTTGCCTCGGGCCTCAGAGTCTGACAGAACACAGCCATGTCCCCAGCACCCTGGTCCTGTGTGTTTGGCTAGCTGGAGCCACGTGGACCTCTCAGCGTTTGTCAGGCTGAAGTGTGCTGCAGCAGGTACCAGTGTGAGTGCAGGGGCCCCCAGGCATCCGATATTCTACCTGTGACTAGCATGGCCCTTGGCAGAGCTCAGGAACTTGATGGCAGCGGTTCTTAAACTGTGGGCTGGGATCCATTGGCAGGTGGCGAAATCAATTTCCTGGGTTGCGAACAACGTTGCTTTTTAAAATCGAATAGAGCGGAGCAGAAGAGGACACAGTAGGAGATGCCGCTGCCTGCTTAGTCCCTGCAGCCTCCGCTTCCGATGAAAACTGTGTGTCTGTGTGTGTGGGCGGGACGTGCAGTTCTCCGAGCCCTGGTCCACAGATCTCAAAGTCCCGTCTCCAAAGTCACGGCAGGGGTGTGCAGTGCCCCTCAAGAGGTGGCTCTTAGTATGTCTCAGTCCATGGAGGCAAACGCTGGGGTTTCTTCTTCGTTTACGTGCCTGCATGTCCTTGTGTGTGCCAGCGTATGTACACACGTGTGAATGTGGAGGCCAGAGAACAATGTTTGATGCTGTCCTTCAGGCTTTGAGTACATTTTCTTTTTTTGAGATAGGGTCTCACCATGTAGCCATGGCTGGCCTTGAACTCACAGAGATCTGCCTAAGCTGGGATTAAAGGCATGGGCTACCATGCCCAGTTTGTAGACTTTTTTGTTTGTAATTTGAGTCATCAAGCTTTCAAATAGGAAAAGTTGGCCAGCAAGCCCCAGGGCTCCACTGCCTCTGCCTCCCCATCGTGTCCTCATACTTGGCTTGGCTTTGCACGCACAAGTACACAATGCATGCACACGGATATATGGTTCGTGAGCTGCTGCTTGTGACGCTGATGCCGGAGGAGGGCATTGAAGGTCTTCCTCTATTGCTTTCCACATTATTGCCTCGAGACAGGGTCTCTCACTGAACCCAAAGCTCCTCATTTCTCCTAGGCTGGTTGGCAGTTAAGCTCCTGGGCTCCACTCGTCTCTGTCCTCCGGTGCATATAGCCAGGCGTATAGCTATGTCCAGCTTTCTACATGGGTGTAAGGGATTTGAATTCGGGCCCCATGCTTGCAAGATGAGCAATTTTGAACTGATCTATCTCCCCAGGGCCAAATCTAACAGGCTAACAAGAATGTTGGCTCATTCCTTTTTGGGTTTTTTTTTTTTTTGGGGGGGGGGTTGTTGTTGCTGTTGTTTTTGGTTTTTAGTTTTTCAAGAGTGGGTTTCTCTGCACAGCCTTGGATGTCCTGGACTCACTTTGTAGACTGGACTGGCCTTGAACAAATAAAGATCCCCCTGCCTCTGTCTCCCCAAGTGCTGGGATTGCAGGCATGCTCCACCATACCCGGTATGTTGGCCATTCTTAATTTCAGTGTCCCTTTGCTGGGTAGGAAAGAAGCAAGAGACCCTGGTGAGCCCAGGGTGTGTGTGTCTGTCCCAGGTGGCCATTCAGGTGGACGCCATGGTGCAGCGGGGACAGTCTGGTGGCTAAGAGCAGCTGAGACAGCAGTAGAACAGTGGTGGAGGATGTCATGGCTTCCTCGCCACTGTTCCAGCTCTATCTGCCATAACCAACAGAACACAGAAGAAACACAGCCCATCCGTGCAGGAGGAGGGTTTTGGTGAACAGCGGGTAATAAAGAGGGTAGTGATGGGCTCGGCACCATCTGTCTGGTGCTGCCCCCCCCCCCCAGGCCTGGACACTCTACTGTGCCCTTTAGGGAAAGGAAGGACCAGCCAACTATAGCTTAGGGCAGGGGCCCTCGCAGTGCATCTGAAGAGCAGGCTGGGCGCAGCCCACTGCTCTGAGCTCTTTGGGGATGGGTGCAGAACTGGGAGGGTCCATCCAGAAACCTTGGTGACCTTTCTGTCCCCCAGCCTTTTCTGACATCCCTCTCCATGCCAGGCCTTCCTGTCTGGCCCTCACTAGTGTTTCATTCCCTACGGGGGACCGAAAGCCGGGCACCCCACTTTCACTGGCAAGGCGCTACAGGGGTGTCCTTTGTGGAGGTCCCGGGCTGCAGAGCTTGCTTTCAGTGGTGAGCAGGAAGGACGGAGCTGAGCTTCATAGCAGGCCAACGTGGGGCCCAGGGTTCCGAGCATATCCATGAAAGAGGCTGGTAGCGGGATGTGCACACGGCGACTAGAGCTAGCAAAGAAGGCGGAGGGGGCAAAGGACACTGCCAGGCCTGCAAAGCCTTGCCTGGCCAGCACTGACTGCACAACTTCTATGCAAGAGCTCGGTGGGTCCTGACAGCCTGTGGTCTTTCAGAGATGACAGGTTTGCAGAGATTTGTGCGGCAGCCATGCTCTGTAGCCCAGGCCCTTAGCACGCCCCCACTTGAGTCGCTGGGGTGGGGGTCCTAGGGCCTCCAGTGGGAGGTTGGCCTTCCGGGGGCTTCCAGCCTGCCGCTCCTGCAGATCTCCTCCTCCTTGTCCTCCGCCTTCTCCCCCCCAACCCCCAGAAGCAGGCTCAGCCTGCCTGCCGCCTTCGCCTTTTCTGGAGGGCCTAAGCTTCTGCCAGGATTAAGCCTTTCAAAGGGCGCGTGCTCAGGGTCCCAATGTGCAGCCGTCAATACGGCTCTCCACACCGCTCAGATCTCCCTGAGCCATATCGAACTTCCTTCCACCCAGCGGGTCCCTCCTGAGGACTTGATATTTCAGGGCAGGACCAGGTCGGGGCAGTAGAAAAAAAAAAAAAAAAAACTGTCATCTTTCCCCCTGCCCCAGCCTGTGACGTCAGAGCCTCCCAACTGCCCGTGACTGATGTGTCCCCGGGGACCTGGTGCATCTCTTGGGCAGATGTTGCTGCTCCGCCCGGGTGGCCGGGCTGTTCCGAGCTGCCGGAACCGGGCTGCTTAGTAATGAAAGTGGCAGCCAGAGCTCTGACATCAGATGCAGACACAGATGGAGGCAGGTGGGCGCTGCCTCTGCAAATGAGCAGGAAAAGGCTTGTTAAACAGAAAGGCGGCGTGGGCCAGGCGGCCCCGGAACGGGACTGTCAGCAGGCGTGTAAATACTCGTCAGCTCGGCCGGGACCGGCACCGTCCTTATTTCAAGGCAATTTAACCAATGGGACTTCAGACTCCCAAATCGAGAATGTTATTAAAGAAAGAACAGAGGCAGCTCCAGCGGCTCAGCGGCTCGTTGGTACCCAAGTCACACCCAAAGCCTGCTCTGGGCTCCTGGGTCTCCCCTGAGATTTGGCTAGGATTCAGGGTTCCCGGGCTACAACCCCTGGATCCTGCCAGGAGGGTGTGATTTGGAGAGAGGAGCTGTGTGGGCGGTGGGGACCTAGGGATCAGGCGGATGTGAGGGTTGCTGAAAAACTTAAGAATGGACTGAGGATGATGTATGCCTATAGTTCCGGCATTCGGGAGGCTGAGGCAGGAGGATTGTGTGGGCAGCATAGTGAGTTCCAGGATAAATGAGTACTGAGTGAGACCCTGTCTCAAAAACACAGAAACAAGGGCCAGGCAGGTGGCCCGAGCCTCTAATCTCAGCACTTGGGAGGCAGAGGCAGGCGGATCTCTGAGTTCGAGGCCAGTTTTGTCTACAGATCAAATCCAGGGACAGCCAGGGCTACACAGAAACCCGGTCTCAAAAACACACAAACAAAACAAAACCCCCAAAAACCTGAAGAACAGACAATAACCCCAATAAATTCTGTGCCCATCCTCTCCTTCTCTCTCTCTTCTTCTCCCACTTTCTTTCTTCTTCCTTCTCTTCCCCACCTTCCCTTTCTCTTCATTTCTTCCCTCTCTCTCCCTCCACTTTAAATGTTCTTTGTCTTTTATTTGAGGTAGCTTTTCAAGAAGCTCAAGTTGACTTGGATTTTCAGTGTAGCCGCAAATGACTTTGAACTTCTGCTCTCCCTGCCTCTGCCTCCTGGGTCATGTCACATCCTGGCTTATACAGAGACAAAACCCAGAGCTCAGGTATGGCAGGCAAGCACACTGTCATCGGGGCCACAGTTTCAGGCCCCTGACTGCTGGTGAGAACCTCATTCCAGTACCCACAACAGAAGTGGCCCTGGGAGCGGAGGTTCCCGCAGGTGTAACTCCTCCCTGTGGGGCATTCCAGGCATCTGTGGAGGGTCAGTCAATCCTGCCTTTGGCCTCCACAAGCTCCTGTGACCTGGTCTTCTCCAGGTCCCAGAACCTGGAGCTCCTGAGGGAAGTGGACAGCCTGGCCCCAACCCCACCCCATCCCTGTGTCCTGTGCTGGCCAGCGCAGGGAGCTTGTGGGGAAGGGTGGGAATCAAGGGGTTGGGGGTCCTGAGGCCACCGGCTCCAATGCTATACCTCATTTTCCACATGCAGGTGTTTCAGCGCCGGGAGGACGGCTCTGTGAACTTTTTCCGAGGCTGGGAGGCGTACCGGGAGGGCTTCGGCAAGCTCACAGGGGAACACTGGCTGGGTAAGCACTGCCGCACTGGGGCTCTTCCAAACTCTGCCCCTCCTGGCCTTTCTGTGAAGGCGTCCCATTCTAGTCTCGGAGGCCTCGGAGCTCTGAGGCCATTCACAGGTACGTGGGAGTGACTGAGGAGGTTCAAGTGATGGAGACCATGAGAACAGAGCCAACAGAAGGGGGCATACAGGTGGGCCCCACAGAGCACATGAGCTGTTAAATGTGATGGGGCAAGCTGGGGGAAGTGGCCCTGGCACCCAGGAGGCAGCAGGACCCCGGTTCCAGGCCAGCCAAGCTACATCGTTTAAGGCCAGACTGAGCTCTGTAATTCAAGGCCAGTAAGAAAAACAAAACCAGAAAGCCACACATGATGTTTCCTGCTTATAACCCCAGCACTTCAGAGGCTGAGGCAGAGAGCTACAAGTTTGAATCCAGCCTGGCGTGCATAGGATTTCCAGACCAGACAATGATACATATTAAGACACTTCTCAACAACGACAACAACAATAATAAACCGGAAGTGCCAGGGGCCAGATCAGCAGGGAAGGGCATGTCCCCCAAACCTCAGCACCCTCGTGTGGAAGGGGAAGGGTTGTCAGAAGCAGGAAGCCATGTCCTGTGTGAGGACTGGCTAGGAACCCCCTACAGTCCTGGGCCTCTCCAGCTTTGGGGGACCCACCAGGCATCAGGAGGACTGGGGGTAACCAGGCATTGTCGCCCTGCTGGGGATGGAAGAGGGTGGCCTCCAGAGAGTGGCCAGTCTGGTCAGCGCTCTCCTGCCCTCCAGGCACTTCCTGGGGGCTGGGATCCTGGGTGTCCAGTGGTGTTAGGTGGGTCCCTCGTGCAGACAGACTCTCCTCCACAGCCCTGTGGGGGTGGGGGGGGCAGGCCCCAGGGCAGGAGGAAGACGGGGGCACACAGGTCAGCAACATGCTGACCTATGGTGTCACTGAAGTCCTTGTTCCTTGACCAAGGGTCAGGAGGGCAGGGTCCACCCCACCTGGGTGCCCAGAGAGGGACTTTCCGTAAACGGAGGCCACACAGCATTCGGACCAAGGTCAGTTTACTGAGAGCTAGCTCATTGTGGAGTCGTTTAAATGTCATACGTCAGTCCGGGCGCCTCACGCCAGCCAAGAGGACGGTCCTTTTCCCATCACCCTCTTTCTACAGATGATGAACCTGATGCTCAAGAGGGGGCCACATGACCCACGCTTTATGCTGGGTGTGGGAGCACGGGCAGGCTCCGTGGGAAGGAACGTGGCGTGCTTTGAGGCGAAGGGACTGCAAACAGGGATGGGTGGGAAATTCCTCCTCACCCACCCGGGGTGGTTGTGTGAAGGAAAGAGTGGTAGCCAGTTACAGGCACTGTCCCCACTTCCCACCCATAAGCTTGGAGCAGGGATGGCGCCTCGCTGCTCGGTGGCATCTTAATTGAAATCTATCAGCAGCTGCAGAAGGTGGGGAGGAAGCATTTAAGCAGGGCCTTGATTAGCTCTGCGCACGAGAAGCCCTGACAAGAATGTCAACCATGAGGCCCTCGGCGTGCCTGCGGCGTCACCTCTGCTTTTCTACCCCCCAGTCACCTTCTCGTTGAGCGCTTCCTCTGTTCCTATTGACTTACGAATGCTCTTTATATATTGTGGCTGTAGATACACATCACACCTGTTTGTTTTTATTAGTTTGCCTCTTGGCTTTTTCCTACTATTGCTTGTTTCCTGACATTTTAATTTTGTTTGCGTAGGTGGGGTGGTATGAATGCAGGGAGGCGTGTGTGTGTGTGTGTGTGTGTGTGTGTATGTGTGTGTGTGTGTGTCTCAGAGGTTGACCTCAGATGTCTGTCACTTCTCAGGCACTATTTACCACGTTTTAACTTTTCATTTATTTTCGGACTGATCTCAGCTTGTCCGGCAAGCGCTTTTGCCTGCTGAGCCATCGAGCCAGCCCCCTCATGCTTTTTTGTGTTGTGTCTTCCATTCGGTTCTTTGAGCCCTAGGATTCCCTGGGATGAATGTGTGCAGGGTGGGGTCCTCTGTCCCTCTGAGGGACAGCTGAGCTGCACCGTAGCTTCCACTGTTCAGGGAGTCAGAGACATGGCTGACAGAACTCCAAGGTCAATGAGCGCTGTGGCTTCCGAGAGTAAAGATGGAGGGAGGCTGAGGAAGGGAGGGAGAGAGATCAGACTCTGGTCTCCTCCCCCTGCCAGGCAGCTTGCCCGGCAGCCCCGGCGCAGGGCACCAGGAGGGTTCAGCCAGAGCCCAGTGCTGTTAACTGTGGCACGCTGGCTGGACAGCTTTGGTATACAGTGACCATGTAGCGATGGAAAAGGATCTCTTAGCAGCCCGCCCACATTTCCTGGAAATGGGATCTGTTGGCTAAGCCTGGATCTGAACCCTTCTGCCTGGGTTCAAATCCCAGCTCTGCTGCTTGCCAGCTGTGTGATCCATCCAGGTGAGTCTACATCTCTGAGCCTTCCTCTCCCACCCATACAGTGGGGCATCATTGTGCCCAGCTCTCAGCGGCCTTCTCCAGCAAGCAGCCAGTTCTGGGCAGCATGCGGTGGGTTCCGTCTCGGACTGTGCTGAAGCTCTGTAATTAATCATGTTCTGATGCCGCCTGACTGATCACAATGCTAGAGGTGCTTAGAATGGTGCCTGGCTTCCAGGTGTGTGTGGGGGCTGTTGTCATGTTGTCACTGTCACCTGCTGCCTGAGCATCTGTCCATCAGCCCTGCACAGGTGTGCAAGCCATGCCCAGAGTGGGAGGGCAGCTTGCCCTGGTGTCAGCAGCCCTGGGGGCACAGGCCAGGCAGGGAGACGGGATGTGGCGGGATTGCCTGCTCTTGCTGCTCTCTGAGCCCACGTCCTCCGGGTCTCTGGGCTGCACTGAGTCAGCAGTCTGAGTGGGGGAGGGGTGGGGGAGGGGTGATGGCACAGGGATCCTTCAAGGATCTGCTGCTGCCCTCAGGAAGACCAAGGCTGAGCACGGAGGCTCCACAAAGCTCCTTCTTGCACAGCAACCCAGACACCAGCCAGTGGGGAGGGGCCGATGGAGCACTACAGGCTCGGAGCCTTCAGGGCGGTTAATTAAATGCCCTCTCAACCCAGGGTTGATCTTGATGGCAGGGAAGTGCCCTCTTTGTGTGAGACCCTGGGCTGGCCCAAGGGCCGGAGGGCAGGGAAGTGGCTGGAGGAATAGAGGCAGAGCGGATAGGGGTGGGGGGGGCGGGGGCGGCAAGGGCATCTGGAACCAGGACCTGGGGATGGCAGGCGATGCAGGCACTGCCTTGGCCCTACGAGCTGAGAAATGTTTATTGAGCACGTGTCACACCTGGTCCCACTGTGCCCACTGGGGTGGCAGCGAACACTGACTGTAGAGTTGTGTTTAGGGAACTAAACTGGCAGGGAAATTCACAAGGAGCCATCGAGAACCTGAATGATGAATGTTGAGGAGGAGGAGGTGCCGGGTCATCATGGGAGACCAGCCGACTTCCCAAGGCTGAACAGAAAGGTAACAGGGTGGTAAGGGACAGGCCAAGAACACAGCACGTGCAAAGGCCACCACCGCATCTGAGCTGCAAGTTCCGACCATTTCTCCATCGGCTGTCACCTCAAAATGCCTGTGTTTGGGGGACCATGAAGATGGCCGGGTCAGTAAAGAGGACCTCAGTTTGGACCCCCGTGCCCAAGTGAAAAAATAGGTGCAATGGCTCGTGCCTGGAATCCCTGTGCTGAGGAGGCAGAGACGGGTTGACGGGGGTCCCTGGGGCTCGCTGGCCAGGCAGCCCCCCTGACTCAGTGAACCCCAGGTTCAGTGAGAGACCTGCCTCAAAGAATAAGCTAGAAAGGGGCGGAGGAAGACCCCTGACACAGACACAGGTACATGACATGCCAACACACAAACACTACCTCTGGGAAGCTCCACCTGGCATAAAGCAGCGAGCACACAAAACCAGACGTGACAACTTGAACTAAGCCCCAGCTTCCTGCCCAAACCCTGCCTGTGGGGAGAAGGAAGCGGAAGCTGCCCCAGCCCAGCGTGCACACTTGGAAGTTTTCTTCCAAGGTTTGGGTGTGGGGGGGTACCCCCTGGGCCCCTTGACCTCCTCCACCTCTCTCCCCTTCCCCCTCTCAGGGCTCAAGAGGATCCACGCCCTGACCACACAAGCGGCCTACGAGCTTCACGTGGACCTGGAAGATTTTGACAACGGCACAGCCTACGCCCACTATGGGAGCTTCGGCGTGGGCTTGTTCTCTGTGGACCCCGAGGAGGATGGCTACCCACTCACCGTGGCCGAGTACTCGGGCACTGCAGGTGAGGCCCCCGGGGCGGCAGGAGAGCTGCCCTGCCCCTCTGCCCTCTGGGGTCAGGATCTAGGTCGCAAGTCCCATCGGGCCCTCACCCCGCCCCCACACCCTACAGAGCCTGAGTGGTGTACCCATTTCACAGAGTGAGGAGCTGAGGCTGGAGCTGGAGCCAGGAGATCCCTGGGGCTGGCTGTGGGGCTCATCTCAGAAAAAGGAATGGGAGAGCCAGAAAAGCTGGGAAGAGGGTAGAGACCGGCCGCCTAGACACAGGCCCAGGCAGAAGGCCGAATTCGGCCTGGGGCTGGCAGGGAGCTGTCTGGACTCAGGTTTGCGGGGTGGCGAGTATGCTCACACAGCCAGGTTCTCCCAGTGGGGGACAGTGTTCGGGGCCTGCACACACGTCTGCCCAGGTGTCCACCTCAACTTGCACGTGCCGCGCAGGTGACTCCCTCCTGAAGCACAGTGGCATGAGATTCACGACCAAGGACCGAGACAGCGACCACTCAGAGAACAACTGTGCTGCCTTCTACCGAGGGGCCTGGTGGTACCGCAACTGCCACACCTCCAACCTCAACGGCCAGTACCTGCGTGGCGCTCACGCCTCCTACGCCGACGGCGTCGAGTGGTCCTCCTGGACCGGCTGGCAGTATTCCCTCAAGTTCTCGGAGATGAAGATCCGGCCGGTCCGAGAGGACCGCTAGACTGGCACGCTGCCCGGCACTCTTTAGTTCTAGCCCCCACGCATCTCACCCAGTGCCCACTCCGTGCCCACTGCTGCGAGAGCGTTCTCCTCTGCCCACCTGTGCATGGCTGACCTGCTCTGTGTTAGGGATGGCCCGGGTCCAGCCCTGAAACTCAGCTCCCCAGGCCAGTGACACCGATTCCCAACCAGGTCCCTGCCTATCGGCTGACAGGATCTCTTGTTTCGACTGGAGGGGATGGCACCTGGCAACCCCAAATCTCACCTGCCCAGGCTTTGGTCCCCATGCTTTGTGTGCTTCCCAGCAGGGCAGCACTCCCCAGCTTTCCCGGCTTTGCAAGAACCTCAAGAGTAGGGGGCAGACAGCACTCAAGGAGGAAGTCTCAGGCCTAGCCCTGTTCCCTCAGGGCCTGGAGACCCCACCTCCTCTCAGAGGACCGCAAATAGCTGAGGTGGCTGTCTCTTGTGGCTAACTGGGCTGGGGCACAGCTGTCTACAAAGCCCCCAACGCCGAGGCCAGTCCTCTAGGCCACCCTTCCCTGGGTGGGTTCTGTTCTGGCTGCTTTCAAAGCCCATCTGCACTTTCCCACTCAAACCAGCTTCACCTGGCCTCCTGCATGGCAGCCGTGGCTCCTGCTCCCCACACCGACTGCCTGTCAGACAGGGGTGGGACTGGCCTAAGCCCATGAGAACCTCTTGGGGTGGGGCTGTGCCAGGCTTTTATACTCTGCCAACCTCCATGGAATGACTGTAGGATCAGAGAGTAGAAGCAAGCCAGCCCTGGGACTCAGCATGGCGCAAGGCTGCCATCTCTGCAGAGAGGCTGCCCCCTGCTGGTAATCATGGGCACTGCCACCAGGGCCTAACTGGGGCAGGAGCCTGAGGCAGCATCAAGCAGGTTGGACGTCCAGACATTTTCTTGTCCAGCCTTCTCAGCACCTGCACCCCACCATTGCCCCCTACAGGTGATCCCCAGGAAGGCAGGATGCAGCCCCAGACCTCATGATTCTGTGTCCTATGAGAACCTGATAGGTGCTTTGAAAGGGCTGGAAGGAAGGATGGCAATGGTGACCCTCCTGGCAGGGACACATGCCTCTTCCTTCTGCTAGACTTGTGCCAAAGCCTGAATGCCACTGATGGACGGTGTGACCTGCTCATTCTTCACACTGGGCCTCAGGTCCTCAGCAAGGGTCCGTAACACATCTGTGCAGGTCAAAGCCACCCTAGGTGCTGGACGAGGCCAGCTGTTGCTTACTTGGTCCCCAGCTGGTGTCAAGAAAAGTGATTCCTGCCCAGAGTAGCCAAGGTCTGGTGGAACAAGGGGCACACGGGGAAGTCCTCTCACATTTTTTTCTCTGCCCTTGACACCTGGCACCTAGTCTCATCACAGGGTGGGTGGGAGCCCCAACACCTCCTGGCAGACACTCCCTGCCCCCGAGACTGGTGCCAACGTGGCCTCCGCTGCCAGCTGCCCCTGTGAGCGCTGCTTAGAAGTGCCGAGCGCCTTCTGATGTGGTATCAAAGAAACCTCTGCTAGTGAAGTAACAGATTCACACATGTGAGCGTGTGACGGGAGGCATGGGCTACCGGCCAGGGGCAGGATGCGGGGCTCAGGAGCTGAAGTTCATCCAACAGGGCAGCTGGTGGACAGGTGAGAGGGCGACTGGCTTCTGGCTGCACTGGAGACAACAGCCACTGCCCCAGGGACACCAAGCCCTCCCCCAGGCCAGGCTGGGACTCTAGGGGGTACAGCTTTGCAGACCACTGGCTGAGTGGGCACGGAGTGGGGAAAGATCAGAAAATAGGTCTACCTTCATCACCTTCATCACCTTCATCTTCCTAGTGTCCAAGGCAGGTGGGAGCACTGTGCCTGCACACTAGGCCACAGCCTCCAGCCCTGGCTTGACTTCGCTGGTCTGAGGTCTGGACAGACGGCTGTCACCTGGGATCAGAGTGGCCACAGGAAGCAGGAATGCTTTTGGGGGGTCAGGGCAGCCCCACTGAGGCACGATGATGTTACTGACCCTCCAGACCTACTTTGGATTAGCAATGGAATGACTGAGCTGAGAGAGTCCCAGATGCCACGTGGCCAAGCCATGCGGCTTTCCTTCTTGGGCAGGGTCTCCAAGCCCCATGCCAGGGTCTTGGCACTGTGGCTGTCTCTACTTTGCAAAGCATCAAAGCTTCTTTCCAAGCCCAAGCTGGCTCCATGGATTCTACCAAAGGCCTCAAAATTGGCTTCACCCGAGTCATGCCAACGGCCTCCTAGCCAGCATGCCTCACATGGGCATGGCCTTGGTTCCCCTGCAAGCCTGGGCTGGTGGGAGGTCAGAGCTGTGAGCCTCCGCTGTGACAGCGGCTCACGTGAGTGGGACACTAATGTTGGAGTGGCATCACCGGGGCCACGTGTCCTTGTCACCTCAGGCCTCCAGGTGGAGTGCAGGAGTCTGTGGCCCCCAAGCAGCACTCCTGGGAGAGAGCAGGGCCTTGGAGAACCAGAAAGTCTGCGAGCAACAGTGCGAGCTTCCAGCTTCAACCAAGATGACTCGGCCGTGAGGTGGGAGATGGGGGACAGGGGGCAAGAGCAAGGCCCTTGCTGCCCTGACCCCTGTCCTGTGATCTGGAGAGCAACATGCTGGCAGGAGACTCACGGGACCCACAACTGTGGTGAAACAACAGAGCCAAGGGTCTGGGAGCCTCTGAGAGCCTCAGTTTCAGTGACAGTTGCCCCAGGCTCGGATGGCACACTGTAGGGGTCCTTAAATTGGGAGGCCTGGAACCAGGTTGCCCTGGAACTGGGGTGGGGGCCGGGCTCCTCCTGAGGCTCGCTGTGAGGAGCAGGGCAGGTGTGCATGCTGGCCAGCCAATGCAGTGGGGCACCCCACGGGCAGAGAGTGTGGGGCAGTTGCTACTTGGGGCTCTGTGCACTCAGTGTCTTGTATATCCCTGTCTTCAATAAAGTCTTGTGGTGACCCAGAGCCAGCGTTCTCTTAGAGTCCTGCCCCACACTCCATGTCACAGCAGGGCTAGGCAGCTTCCCAGGTGGCTCTGCGCTCCCGAGCTGTGACTGGCTAGGCAGAGACAGCCAAGCCTGGGCAGCAAGGAAGGGTAAGGCCTGCCTTCCGCACAGGTTGGTCTAGCTGGGCCTCTGTCCTGAAGTCTGGGTCTCATGGGGCCACCCACGCTGGCTCTGCATCCCACCAGTGTCTCCGTGGTGATGAACTGCCCCTACAGGAGATGGGTCCTGGGGTTCTCAGGAGTTGACACTGAGGAACTAATTAACAGTCATTTATTCCTCATGTCAACTGATGCTTCAACGCCCAGGTTGTTTCATGAGAGGCAGTGCTGACTGAGTGCCCACACTGGAGGAAGTGCTCGGTGGAGGGAGGCGCCAGCATGGAGCTGATCGGAGGGGCCTCACTGCTGTGCTAAGGGTGTGTCTGAGTCCATGTCCAGAGGACAGCGATTCCCGTTCTCTCCCCCAGGGTCCTCAGTCCTGTCCTCTAGGCAGCTCATTCTGGGTCACAGGACTGGAGGGATGGGGTGGGTGGGGGTGGGGTGGGGTGGAGGGCCTGTCTTTGTTTGAGTGCACCCACCCACGCAGGGCTAGCCTGTTCCCTCACACCCTAGGCCACCACCATGTGCTTATCCTAGCTGAATCACTCTGGCTGTGACCCCGAGAGCCATCTGAATAGGTCTTAGCGACCCAGTCTCACAGAGCTTTCTAGAGCTTGGGGACCAGCCACCAACAGGGCCCAGTACTTCGGGAAGAGATCTCCCCAGAGATCTGTGGGGAGACTGGAGAGGCCCAAAAGGTGGTGAAGGAGGGCACTGTTATTATTTTTAAAACGAGGCACACAACAGACATTACATGAAAGAGTTTATTGGAGGGAATTGAAGCAGAAGAGAGGACCTGAGTGAGCCATGAGGGCAGGGAGAGAGAGACAGAGAGACAGAGATGGGGGAGGGCCACCGTGACAGAGAAAGGGGAGACAGCAGGAGAGGAGCAAGAGAGAGGGGGAGAGGGAGTGGCAGACCTGGCTCAGATGATGTCATAGGACGCAGGTACTGACATAGGACATTGTCAGGCCCCTAAGGACAGGCCAGTTGATTGCCTGCACAACATAACAGGCAGCCTGCTGGCCTTGCCATGTCAGGTGTAGTGGGTCCACATGACCTTCATGACATGAAGACTTGTGGTGTCAATTTCAGAGGTTCAGGACTGTCTGCAATCATAGCCGTATGGACTTCCAAGCTGGGTCCTATTCTGGGAGGAATCTTTCAGATGAGGGCAGGAGCCTGAGGGCTGGGTCAGTGCCTGCGAGGGCACAGCCCAGACTGGTTGTCACCAGTATTCCCTTTCACATCCAGTCCCTGCTCGCACACCATGAGAAACAAGGATGGGTCCAGAAGGGAGATTGTAGCCAGCTCAGAGGGGCTGCGTGGAGCCCTGTGCCCTCAGGACTGCAACCCAGGGAGCCTTAGAACTTTCCAGAAAGCTGAACACACACACACACACACACACACACACACACACACACACACACACACCCGCTTCCTCCTGCAACACTGCTTCCTGCTCTGCTCAGCCTCTGACCTTGAAAAGGCCGTGCTGCTGGGTGACATTATAGGCACCCTCAGCTCCAGCCTCCACACTGCCACAGCCTCCATCATGGCAGCTGGCAGCTGAAGAAACTTGGGCTGATGGATCAGAGAGACGGATGCAGGCAGGAGTCCAGCGAGTGTGCCCGGAACGTGCTTGGGGAGTCTGGTCAGCTCTGAGGGCCAGGACTTTGAAGTAAACACCTGAGCTGGCTTCCCAGCCTGAGGAGCACAGGATGGCGGATGGGAACCCGACATGAGCTGAGAAACAGGTGGGCCCCGGGAGACCTGTCTGCAAAGGGTCCCGTTCTATCACGCAACTGCTGAATCCAGGTCTCAACTGGGGCTGGAGAGCACTGCCATTAGTCGCCAGAAGAGTTGCTTGCACTGAGTAGTGGTTCTGGAATGAGTAGTGGCAACACCTTGGCCAGAGCACCTGTGGGCAGCTTCCAGAGGGAGTGTCTGGTAAAAGGAGTGGGCCATGGAGATGCTGCGACACAGCTCCTGTAGACACACACTCACTGCGATGATGCCAGGCTGGTGAAAACATCACCTAGCCACGAACTCGGCTGAAGAGAAGCCGTGGTGTGTAAGGAGGGGTGGCCATGACAAACCCCATGTCCTTACCCGGTGCCAGTGTGGGAGGAACGGGAGTTGATGACCTCACCACCTTCCCTATGCCCTTGCCAAGGTTCATACCTAACTAGCATGCTGCCCTACCCCCAGGCCGCCTTGACAGCCTCTGGGTGGGAGTGATTGTACTCAGTGTGGTTCAGAAGGGCAGGCCCCGTGGGCTTATGTTGGGACGGGCAGCCAAATCTGAAAAGGTAGGTACAGGCATCAGGTACAGGCCAGCCATGGGGCTGGATGGTGAGAGAGGCAGAGCATGCCATCTTTGGGACAGACTGACAGTGGCGCTGTAGTCTGAGAGGGGCCTGGTTTGTCATGGGTTCTAAACCCTGAACCCTAAGAAGCAGGAATCCCGCCCAGTTTCGCCTCTCCTGAGGCTCCAAAGGGAGGCTGCATCACACACCACACACCACCTTCCTACAGAGGGCACTGGGTGTCTTTGCCCCTCCAGCCACCCACAGCAGTGAGGTCGGTGCCTCTGTAAGACCACCCCTTCAGGGGTCTCAAGGGTGGGCCTCTGTGTTTCTACTCAGGGTCTTCAGGCTCTGAGCCTGCAGTTCGCTGGACGATGATGCTACCCTCTCCAAGGGCGGCGGCGCATGCCACTCTTCATCAGACCACATCCTGTTTGCATTGTGTCTGTGTCCTGTGGCTCACGGTGCCCCCTCCTTCACCACCAGCAGCCCCAAAGGAATCCCAGGGCTAGGAATGCACAGCAATCAGGCAGGCTGGGGCCCACGGCACCAGGGATTGCATAAAACAGGGAAACCCCAGAGCCCTGCCTACTGGACCAGGACCTGAGCAGCTTCGTCCGTCCGGCACTGGGGTCCAGGGACCCACCTGCGCTCCTTAGAACAGCCCTCAGCACAGTGAGTACAGCAGGGGACTCGAGGACGGGCTCTCCAGGTGAGCTAGGTGCAGGCAGGTCTGGCACCTGGAGCCACACACGGGGAAGGGTGACGGTGGAGGACCCACAGCTTCATCCTAGGAAAAAAGTCCCACCAATGCTGGCCAGCCTTGGCTGCCAGCCAGAGTGTATTGGTCTCCTCAGATAAAGAACATTCTGTGGGGAAAAGGGAATGAGGCCTGTCTGTCTCCTGAGGGGGGGCCTCTCCACTGGGGCCCAAGGAAGCCCCTTCAGCAGCAGCAGAGCGAAGGCTACCCTAGCCCCTGGGGACCAGGAGGCTTAGCAAGCTGGATTTGGGTGGGAAGCAGAGCTGCTTTTGTTGTTTTTTGAAGCTTTCTGGCTGAGCCCGCTTCTTTGAAATGTTTTCAAGGGAGCTGTTTCTGGAAAGAACTCCTCCCCTCCCCTCTATTCCAGCTTCTTCAGGGGGTTCCTCAGAGGATGAGCCAGCCCGGCCCTTCTTACCCATGGTCACTGTAAAACAGACTTCCTCTGTGAGGGAACAGTCCCCCACAAGGGGTGTGTGTGTGGGGAGTAGAGGCAGTGGGACAGGGATGAGGGTACAGAGTAGTGAGGGGGCCTTGAACTCATCTCCATCCTTTATCAAGCTGTAGGCTCTAGGGCAAGCCCTGAGCGGCTTTGAACCTGAGGAATGGGGGGTGGCACCCTGGTTGGTGGGCTGGAATGCAGAAAGCAAGCATTTCCCTGAGGCCTGGCATGCTGAGGCGTCATGGCGACATTAGAGCCCGGAGCCCCCACTCCAGCTACGTGATGTGAAGATAAGCCCATTCGTGTGCATAATCTCTAGCCCGGAGCCTGTCCTGTCCAGTGCGCTCAGTGGCTGGCCCCAGTCCGGCCACTGGCTCCTCCCCAGGTCGGGTGTCTGAGTTACACCAGGGCCACCAGACCCACTTCCCCCTCCCAACAGCCAACTTGTTCCTGAATTAGGGAGACAGTGGGGTTTCCCAGTAGACTCTCTAGAGCTATTCATTATCAAGTTGAAAACAAGGCTGCTTCTCACTCTGCCCAAGAGTCAATAATTATAATAGAAAATTGAACCCAAATGCACACAGCCCTGAGGGCCGGCCAGGTGCCTCTGCGAGCCAGCTGCCAGCTGTGGTGGTATTCTAGCACTGAGCCACCAAGGCAGGCAGCTTTCTGGCTTCAGGTGAGTGAGACTCAGCCTAATTGGTACCGCCAGCTCCTGCGGTGACTAAGAAAGCCTTGTGTCCTGGCTGCTAGTGAGCCCGGCTAAGCTGAGCCAGCAGCTATCTCTCCAGAGGCTGCCCAGACCTTGGGATGCCTGGGGCCAGAGATTGCATGTGGCCAAACGCTGGCCACTAACCCCCTCCTCTTCTTCTTCTGCTCAGATGAGGGGCCTCCGCTCTTTGCTCTACCTCCTCCTCCTGCCACTGAGTGCCTGCTTCCCCCTACTGGACAGAAGGGAGCCCACAGACGTCCTCGTCCTCGGTGACACCGGAGCCAGGATGAGCTGGGCCCACGTGGCTGAGGAACGCAAACCCCACACAGTTCAAGGTCCTTCCCGGTGGCCTAGAGTACCACAGCCACAGGCCCTTCTCGTGGTGGCCAAGGAGCTGCAGGCCTCACGCAGGGAGCACACCGGCTTCCGCCTTGGGAGGCAGGATGGTGGCAGCGAGGCTGCAGGGTTCCTGCCCACTGACTCAGAGAAGGCCAGTGGCCCCCTGGGGACCCTGGCAGAGGAGCTCAGCAGTTATAGCAGGAGGAAGGGAGGCTTCAGCTTCCGCTTCGGCCGGTGAGGGCCCGTGTGGACTCTGTCCGGTCTGTCTGTCCCCTGTTGCCCCCACCCCAACGTCAAGAACCCAGACTCAGAGAGAGCAAACGCCTATCCTAATGAACTAGTGGTAGATAGATGTATACCCAACTTTTCATTTCCAACTTTGCTAAAGTGAAAAACCTGGGTGGTGTTTGAAAAAAAAACAACCAACCAAAAAACAAAACAAAAACAATATGTCCTTGTCCCAGCGTGACTCAGGCTGCTGTCTGTCCCAGCCTTCTTTCCCCCCTGGTCTGATGGGAGCAGCTCCCAGACGCAGGGGCAGGGCGCTGAGGCTGTGGTGGGGCCTTGAATACAACAGGCCTGTGGCTCTGTTGCTCATTTGTCGGTAGGTAGACAGAGATTACAGCGGAAATCAAAGTTCTGACAGTCCCCACAGGGACGCTGGAAGCTGACATGAGGCGCCACTGTGAAAGAGCACACTCCACTGTGTTGTTGGTCTGAAAGTTATAAATGAAGGAGGAAAAAAAAAATAACCTGCCCAAACACAAACAAACCCAAAACAGTGTATGTGCTCTCCATCCCATTAGCACAAGCTGCCTCTGGCAAGAGGGCCCCCGCACTGGGTGTTGGCGGGTGTCAGCAGCACCAAGCTTGCCCTTTGGATGGCCTGGGCATCGCCTCTGGCAGCTGGCCTTGTCCATGGTAGTGTTTGCCAAGCCAAGGGCCTCATGGGAACTGAACTGTGATTTTTTTTTTTCCTTCTTTTGCTTAGCAAGGTTGAGTTTCAAATACCCCAACTAGGAATGTGCCGTGTGTATCTTTTGAAATAAAAGTTGTAACGACTGCAGCATCATAATGGAATGCTGGCCTCCTCCTTCCAGGTCCTCTGGGCCCCAGAAACTTTTCTTGAGCTCCTGGAGCCTTCGCTTTGGGGAGATGGAAATCAGGCTGTCTGTACCCTGTACACCTCTCCTAGCAGCCCCTTAATTGGCAGCTGGGCGAAGGCACAGGGAGACACGGCACAGGCTGTTTCCCTCTCCGCTTGCCTGTTCCTTATGTTTCTCAGAATGAGTGTGAGGGAAGAAATCCCGCCGTCTCCACCTGGGGGGAAGGGGAGGTGTGTGTGTAGGGGGGACAGGCTCGGTCTGGGCTGCGTGCAGGCCTGAGGCCAGGCAGAGCATCCCTTTCAAAGGCTGCTGAGTCTCGCACATCCCATCCCAGGTCAGGCACACCCGTCAGAAGCAGCTCACTCCAGGGCTGGCTGTGACTGCTGAGATGAGAACTTATATTGATGTTTCTATGGCAACATCTCCCCTCCTCCTTGCGAGTGGCGGCTTACCCCTGTTCACAATTGAATAATTTTCCATTGAGCTGTCACAATTAATTGGTGGATTTTTATTAGCCTTTTAGAACCACACTGGGCCGGGCCCAGCTTGGCACCTCACAGTATTCCGGTGTTTTCCATTCTATTAGTGACTTACGTCCCTGGTAGCAGCTTTCAATCCTCAGCAGCCAAGAAGCTACTTCATTAAGGTTGACAGATCAGAGGCACAATGAACCATATTGGCTGGGAGCAGGGATGGGAGCTGAGGTGAGGAGGGTCCAGAGCCAAACACCTGACGCTGTAGTACCTGCCTTCCCCCAGCATGCACACCAGGCTTCCACAGACCTTGGACATGGGCCCTGGGATGCAGTCACAGGGACCAGGGCCCTAGGATCTGTAAGGCCTATCACTGCCTTCCCCACCATCTCAGGAAGATGTGACTGAGGGTGTGTCCAGCAAAGGGATGCTACTGGTCCCCGCTACTGTGTCATGACAGGCACACTCCCTGGGTCAGTGTGTGTGAAGACAGTTCTGAGAACGCGGATCATCTATGTTCACAGAGAGGTGACTATGGCTCCACCCAGCTCCCGCACCAGCCAGGGATGCCTACCCTGCTTCCGTGAAGCAGTAGCCTGGCTCAACCCCACCCATGGCTCACTCATGCACCTATGAGATAGGCTGAGACAGACCGACCACAAGCCAGGGCAGAAGGGCACCCTGGAGCCAGGGCCCTGGCTCTTCTCTTCACTCACCAGCTTGTAGACCACCCATGAGGCACTCCCCCACTCACTCTGTAGGTAGGTGCCAGCTCATTTTGAATTATCGTCCTTTGCGGTGCTGAGGTTCCAACTCAGGCCCTGGTGCATGCTAGGTAAGCGCTCTACCACAGAGCTGCACCCCAAGCCTGGCAGGCTCTTCATTTAGCAGGATTAGATTAACCTCGATGGAGAAGACTGAGATGAAGGCAGAGGCCTTCAAAGGAATCATCTGCTGCCATTACCTTTAATCGTTAAAAGAAAACCAACAAAGCTATTTTTTTCCAGCTTGCTTGTACATTGGAGCTCAATAGCCCTGAAAATCAGAACACTCAGACTGCTAAAGCATTGATCTGCTAAACCAGCTCTCCTATATGGTACTAAGCTCCCTCTTTAACCCCCTGCCCCCAAGTTTCCCACGCTCTGGCAGGGTCTGGGCCCTCCTCTGCCCTCTTGGGAAGGAGAAAATCTCTAGACTGGGGAAGGGGAGGCTCTGGGAGACAACTACCTGGAGGCAAACTCAGCCCCAGGCTGCTCACCCAACGGTCTGGCATCTGGCGCTCTCAACCCGAGTGTTGTCTGTAGCTACTCACTGCATTTATTCAAGACACAAACAAGAGCCAGGCATACCGGTGCAGGCCTGTAATCCCCATCCTCGGGAGGCTGAGGCTGGATGCTCAGAAGTTCAAGGCCAGCTTTGGTTCTATAGTGAGATGGAAGTCAGCCTGAGTCCCTGTCTCAAAGAACAAGAAATGAAAGAAAAAGGCCAGTCTTCCCCATGGCACGTCTACAGGTTATTAGCTGCTAAGATGGATAGAAAAGGTCTGTCCAATTTTCCTGTATTTAAAATACTAATTAAATGTTTAGGGAAGAAGACAGACAGACCCAGGACAGCTAACTGCTCAACCTCACCAGCTCCAGTACCAAAGACACCACAGGAGGCCCCCAACCCCTACCTTAATGAATTCCTGGTCATTCTGTATTCGTGGTGTATAGGCACAAGTCCCGAAGCCCCTGGGGAACTGAATCCCAGAGGTGTCTGATTGCAGAACTGACATTAGCCGGAGCAGGGTCTTAGCCAAGAGTCTAGGTGATGAGTCGGGGATGAAGGCAGGTGGGGTTGGGGCTGTCTGTTTAGTCTGGCCCCACTTCATGTCACCTGGGCAAGACCAGCCTTAGAAATTAAGTAGGGTTAAGTTAATTAATCCTACTTTCCAGAAGGATGAGAACCATAGCTCAAAGTGCTTGTCATGCAAGCATGAGGACCTGAGTTCGTATGTGTAGCACCCATGTAAAATCTGGATGCATGTCTGTAATCTGAGCATGAGTTGGGATGGGTGGAGTAGATGGGAGTGGTGGAAGTGCAGCCCATTGGCTAGCTAGCCCAGCCAACTGATGAGTTCCAGGCTCAATGAGAATCTGTCTCAAAAAATACACTGGTGACACCATAAACACACACACACACACACACACACACACACATACACACACACACACACACACACACACACTTCCCCAGTGGGCAGGAGTACAGCCATCTGCATTGTTTACAAACTAGTATGACCTGGTAGGCACATGCTGTGTGGCCTTGGCTAAGCTGCTTCACCTCTGAGCCTCAGCTTCTCTATACCTCAGAGACGGTGTAAGCATTCCCCATGGTGACACGGCTTCTGCAGTGAGAGCTCAGGCAGGAAACTGACCCCGAAGTACAGACACTTCCAGAATATTCCGAGTGTAGGGGCACCCAGTAGCCAGCACCACTCAGCCTCCACCCTTGTCCCAATGCAACAGCTGCCAACTGAGCCTGAGGCATGAGGTCATTCTTCCTGCACCCCAGAGCTCCAACACAAGCCGCATGATTTACTAAGCCTCACACTCGTGGTCAGACAGTATCGTTCCAGCTTTCCTCTTTTGAATACATGGCATGTGTACAGGCGTGTGCACCACACGGTACACATGGAGGTCAACGGCTCTCCCACCATGTGGTCTCAGAGACTAACCCAGGTTATCGGTCTTGGCCACTGAACTGCCTCCCTGGCTCCTCAGGATGGGCGTGGGCAGAGGTGTGCTGCTCTGGGCACAGCTATTAGATACTAGGGAATGGCTATGATCTAAGAAGGTCAAGTCTTTTTCTTCTTCTTCTTGAGATGGGTTTCTCTGCGTAGCCTGGTTGTCCTAGCACTCACTCTGTAGACCAGGCTGACCTCAGACTCAAAGATCCACCTGCCTCTGCCCCCTAAGTGCTGGGATTAAAGGCCTGTGCCACCACTGCCAGGCAAGAAAGCTGAAAGCCAGTCTCAGAAATGACAAACTAAGTTTCAGATGGCAGTCAGGACCTTATTTGGGAGACAAGAAGTATTGTATGGACTGGACTGAGCTGATAGGTCTCACCAGCTGTGGCCTTACCAAAACACTGAGAAAATAGGTAAATAGTACTTGCCTGAGGCCATGGGGAGGAACCCTACGGCCCATCGTACACACGAAGGAGTGGGTACTAGCACGGCAGTTCTCCCTGAAGCCCTCCTACTGTCCCTTACAAAGCAGCCACTCAAGGATGACCTCACTGGCCTCAGAAAACCTGCAGGAGGGACAGTGTCTATCTAGATTTGGTTGGGCCACTGGGCAACTCCAAACCATTTCCCCAAATGTGATACAATGGCAGGGGAGGCGGAGCTGGCTGTGTGCCTAGAGTTGGCAGGAGTGATGGGGCACCAGCCAGTGGCCCTGGCATCCTTGCCATGGGCTCCAGCAGAGGCCACACTAACTAGAACACAACCCCCCCAGAGGCCACGTGGGTGAAGGTGTATTGGGTGGCTGAAGGCTGGGCCGAAAGCACGCTCAGAATTAGAGGCAGGCCAGGGAGGGGTTCACTCTGCCAGCAAGAATTCTGGAGCTCAGTCTCTCCTACTCCAGGCCTGACACAGGACATTAGCATCTGCT